GAACATTGGACGGCCGACGTGATCTGATTATGCTCGGTTGCCTCCTTGGCTCTTCTTTTGGGGACATCGGCGAACACACATGACCATGTCCGCAGACTCCGTGCATGTTGAGCGAGCAAATTTGCCCACCAATCTCTACAACTGTCGGACATTTCTCAATCGCCGAGGTATTCTTTGCAGAAGAAGCTTGGTTTGTGTGTGATTCATGAAACATCCAAATTGTGCATCTGGCGACTAAGCTAAGGTAATGGAACGTGCCCCTCTTAATTCTTTTCATTATCATATTATGCCCCCAACCAGTTCATATCCGTTTCCATGCGCCGCCCTGCACAAACGTGCTCTAGCCGCCGTGCTACACGTGTACAACGTATTGCCATTCGGCGGAAAAACTAACGTGCGCAATTAACCTCACGCTCCCGTCGGCTCCTACAGTGCTCTACCACTGGACCCCACCTTCACGACACACCACACCCTCTCGTTCTGAGCCCCAAAATGCAGTGTGATACCATCTCCAACTCTTGCATCCTTCAACACTGACGTTCTGGTAGCCTTTCAACGACTGTCGTTGAATGATCGAGGTGCCAAGCCTCGATGCCAAGACGGATATCTCGGTGGGCTGGGCGGTTGAGAGCCACCCTGGGTTCCCAAGGGCCAAGACACGTTCGAGCTGATCAGTTCTTGGCCCTCTTTTTGACAGCCCAGCGTGCCAATCCTGCTGTGTAGATTGTGAAGGGGACAAAGGAGAAAAAAAAAATCTGGGCCACGAGGTCCCGCCAAGCCATCCAAGCATCCTCCCGAATGGCAGGCTGCACGTTCCTGGGCGCCAAGAAACCACCAACACCAACCCATCCCCAACGGGCGCCACCCTTTTGCAATAATTTTGGAATATTGGAGATTGATATCACGAACCTCAAGGATGACGGGGCCTGGCTGCGACACTCGGGTCTCCACCAGAGGGCGGAATTCGAAATCCAGGAACGGCGGGCAGACATGGAGACGCCGGTGGCGGAGGTCGCCATGCGTATGTGGAATACGGCCAGCGGGCAGATGGTCTCCCCGGGGACTCGTCATCGTCCACATCTCGTTTTCGCCATTGTTGATGGGTGGGAAATTTGTCGACGCCCGTCGTTGATGCAGGTTTGCCTGACTTCCTCTCCTCACCGCTGCTCACATCTTGTTCTCGTGACGGCCGATCACAGCCTCAAAGAAACAAGCTTGCCGCAGGGTTCCTTTTAGACGGACCGTGGCTGTAAGTTGTAACTCGTTACTTGGTGTCGAGATGTGTGTCCATGTTCCCCACAGCCTCAAATGACATTACTTCCTCTAGTTCATGCATCTCGTCGCCGCGGCGGCGGCAGCGTCGCTCATCTCGCCGGAATCTGTCCCTCCGGCACACCACGCGGCTTCGGTTTCTCCGCATCGGTGTCAGTCATTGTCCACGAGGTCTCCTGCCCGCCCGCGACACTGTCGTCTCCGGCATCACCACCACCCGGCACGTCGATGAACTGAGACTGGCGAGCCTCCTCCTCGATCTGCGCGCGCTCCTCCATCGTGAGGTCGCTCTTCGCCTGCCCGATCTGGACGAACGCGTACAGCGCCAGCGCGACGCCCGCGACGCCGACGGCCAGCCAGAAGGCCGTCTTGTAGCTCTGCTTCGTGCCCAGGTGGCTCGTCTGGCCGACGGCGACGTCGCCGATGCCGAGGAAGAAGGAGATGCCGAGGAACAGCAGGCTGTTGATGAGTGCGCCCGCGGTGCCCTGCCGGTACGCGGGCAGGTTCGTCGTGATGAAGACGTTGCTGACGGTGTAGGTGATGTCGATGCCGATGGTGCCGCAGATCATGGACGGGAAGACGTAGGCCCAGTAGTTGGGGTTGTCGGGCATGATGGCGAAGAGCAGCACGCTGAGAAGGTTGCCCGTGCCCGAGATGGCGAGCAGCACGCGGCCCGGCAGGAGGTGCAGCGTGAAGCCGCCGACGGTGCCGATGACGAGGCCGCCGAGGATCATGGGGACGTACCAGACGGCGGTCAGTAGCGGCGACATGTGCAGGACGGTCTCGATGTAGAAGCTGGAGTAGAAGAGGAAGAGGCCGAAGGTGCCGTAGGCGAAGAAGAGGGCGCAGGCCAAGGTCTTCATGGACTTGGGGGCGAACAGGTCGGCGGGGAGGAGAGGGTTCGACGCCACCTTGGCCTCGACGTACCACGCTCCGACGAGGAAGGCGACTCCCAGAACCAAGGTGACGATGATTTGCGGGCTGGCCCATCCCTGAGGCGCGTGCGAGCTGTCCGTGATGGCGTACACCACCAGCAGCAGACCAGGCACGATGGTCGCAACACCCCACCAGTCCATGCTAATCTCCTGGCGCTTCTCACGCAGGTCGTTGGGGATAGTCAGAAACGACACAGCGGTGATGATGCCGAGCACGATGCTGCCGAGCCAGAAGTACGCACGCCAGTTGAGGAACTGGCCCGCAACACCGCCGATGAGGATACCGAAGAAGAAGCCGATGGGGGCGAAGGCGCCGTACAGCGCAAAGACAAGGTTCTTGCGCGGGCCGGGGCGGTAGATCTTGCCAAGGAGCATGATGCCGGCCGGGAGGTACGCGGCGGAGCCGAGACCCTGGAGGGCTCGGCAGAAGATCAGCATGAGGTAGTTGTTGCTGAAGGCGGCGATGAGGCACCACACGAAGAACCAGGCCAGGCCGATGTTAAAGACAAAGTACCCGCCGTACATGTCACCCAGCCTGCCAAGCGGCAGCAGGAAGGCGCCGGTGACGAGCGAGAAGACGCTTGAGGGCCATGTCTGCGAGGCGGCCGGGATGTCGAGCTCCTTGGCGAGTGGAGGCAAGATGATGTGGAAACCACTGACGAAGTACTCCTGAGGGGAACGTCAGAATCTAGATCTTGCCCGAGCGGGCATGATTGGAACCACCGTGATGGGAAGAGACTTACCGCCATCAACATGGATCCCAGCAGGGAGAAGCAAAAGCCGATTTCGGACCATTGGGACTTGAAGACGGCCGGGCGCTGTCGGCCGAGAAGCTCGACGTCAAACGAGGTTGCGCTTCTGCGGTCGCCGGGGCCGGTGGCATCCCGCTCGGTATCGTCGTGCCGGGACATCGGGACTTTCACACCGGAAGAGGGGGTTCGTCTGTTCGGCTATGCAGTTGCGGGTATGTATGTCGTCTAATCTGGTGACGTGATTGCAAGTGCAATTGGGGAACGATGATTAGGTTATGTCATGTATGTGTACAGTTTTCTTGACAGCATGAAAAGAGTCAAAGTCGCATCCATTACAAGAAGAGCAGAACCCATTACGGGACCATGCAATGGCTAAATATTGGGCAGGCTGGCAGCAGGCCATCGAGGTCCCGAGTCACTGATGCAAAGAATTTCTAATCGGTCGCCATTGATGTGGAGAACAAAGGGGATTCGCGACCAACGGGCCACGGCTTGGAACCCGCCCCAACACACGGGCCGGATGGGGACTGGGGGCGACGGGATCCTAGGCCACCAACAAAGCGGTCTCCGGAGACTGCGAGACTGCGCAGATAGTAGAGCCTCGTGAGGCACGACGGCGGTGGCTGCTTGCTGCTGCTGGTGCTGGGTGGGCATGGTTTGCGCCTTGGCTTCCGTTCTGGGCGAAGGGCGTCATCTGTCAACCTGAAAGTAGTGTTGGCGGCGGCACGTGTAAGAGAGTTCAGACATGTTTGCTTGGAAACACGGGCAGACGGGATAGCCCAGCGTTGTGTGGAATCTGTGACGATGGAGTGGTAATCGAGGACACACGGATATGCTTACGCGATGAGAGCCAGTTTATCGCATATTTTGCCTCCTTTGGGCGTCATGGTGCTGGATATTACAGCCTCGATGACACAACTAGCGAGATCCGGGGCAATCTGGCGCCTGCCGGGCTGTGACGCCAGGGTCTTTTTTTTCTGGTCCTCACGGACGTTCGAGAGCGTTCGCTTTGGAAACATCCGATGGAATCATGGAAACGCGGAAACTTCAGAGGTGGTGGCAGACAATGGAGAATGCGCCTCTTTGTTTGGCTGTTGGCTGGACTGGTGGAGCTGCTCAAATGCCAAATTGGGCCTAGCTCCTCTTTTCCTGGTATCTGATTCGCCAGAGACACAATGTCAAGCGGAAAGAAAAACGTGACTGCAACGAATCATTGGAACCCAAGACTTGGACCGTGCGTCATCTTGCTCAACCTTCGAGAAGAAAGAGTGGGCCCCATATGCACGCTGTGCTGCTGGATTTCCACTTTGGGACTAGCGCAACTGCCACTCGGCCGGGCCCAGCAGGACGTGCCCCGCGCTCTTTTCCGCCGATGCGGTGTCATCGGCCGCCGAACCAAGCGTCTGCCCGCCGTCACTCTATCGATCCGCCATCCAACTGCACCGCACCGCACCTTCATCCCGTTTTCCAACGATTCCACATACCGCACAGCACCTTACGCCCTGCGAGTGACGCGAAACCCTTAGGTTCTGCCCAATCTAATCAGATCAGTCGTCTCATATCTTCTGACAAACGGGCAGCCACTCACTCGCTCCGGAATCCATATTCCCACACCTTGGCTACCCCTACTGTACCACTCTGGGCCCCCCGGATTACCAATCTTGGATTTCGCCTCAAATCTGTCATGCATGTCTTGATGCTTCTTTTCTCAATCGAGGCAGTATCTGCGCCAACCCAACCACAACCCGGTCATCCCAACGTCTGCCCATAGCTTCCTTCCCATCTCGTTGCTTCACACTGCCTCACAACGTCCTCGTCACTGGCCCTGCCGCCCTTGTTACGTTATCATTACCACCACAGTACCAATCTACTCACATCTTGATATCTCTCCCATAGGCTGTTGCAGGCCCAGGAGGAACCTGCAGCTTGGGACGCCCGCACGCAAGCGCGCGCGCGCCCAGACCCAGACAAGACACACACACAAAGGACAAACGCGCACCTTGATAGCCCGCGCGTCTGTCTGCTGGGCTTGCTAGCTGCAATGGCCCGCATCGACATGCTGAATGCCCCGACAAAACCATGTCACAACTGCCGCCGCCGCCGTCTCCGCTGTGACCGCTCCTACCCCCACTGCCACAAGTGCACCGCGGCCGGCCAGGAGTGTCTGGGCTACGGCAAGCTCTTCCGCTGGACTGAGGGCGTCGCGAGCCGCGGGAAGCTCGCCGGCAAGGCCACAATCACCTTCTCCTCCGCCCCGGAGCCCGAGTCTCATTCGTCATCCCTCCAACTCGCCGACCCGGCAGCCTCCTCGTCCTCCTCCGGGACCCAGCACCCAGAACTCCCGCCGGCGGCATCCACGGAACCAGAGCCCAGCAGCGCCCTCGTCGTCTCCGCCGCCGCCGTCCGCCCCGGGACCCAGTCGGCCCCATGGACCCTCGTCGACCCTCTCTTCCAGGATGTGGAGCATCACTACCGCCACTACCTCTCATATTGTACATCTCACGCCCCATCTCCTCCTCCTCCCACCGCGGAACCAACCTCTCGGTAGGACGCGTCCGAATAGAGTAGGCAAGCTAACCATCTCGGCCTAGTCACCACCCGCGTCTGCAGGGATCTCGTCTCCTGGGACGTCCCAGACCGTAACCCCTTCCGCTCCCTCGTCCCGCTGACGAGAGCGCACCCCCTGCTGCAGCACATCATCGTCGCCGCGTCGGCCGCCCACATGTCCAACCTCTCCCGCGCCGTCTCCTCGGATCCGGTGGCCGACCTCAACGCCCGTCAGGCCCTGAACGACGCCCTCATCGCCAAGCACAAGGCCCTCCGTCTGCTGTCGTCTGCCATCCAGAGCATCGGCAGCAGCGGCGGCGTCGGCGGCGACGTCGTGCTCGCGGCCGTGCTCTTCTTCGTCAACGTCGAGTTGATCGAGAGCGGGCAGTCCGGCTGGAAGCCCCATCTCGAAGGCGCCGGCCGCATCATGGCCTTCCTGCCGCCGGTGGGCTCGGCCGATGAGGCCTTGAGGGACTATGTCATGTCTGATTGCTTCATGTGAGTTTCTCATGTCATTGATGTCGTGTGATGCGATGTGATGTGTCCGGTATTTGGTAATGAATTATCTAAGCTAATATTTTTCAACCAAAGATATTACATCTTGGCTTCGGCTTTCAACACGTCTCCGCCTACCGCCGCCAAATCCTACTACCAGTCTGTGCAGGCGTCTTCTATCCTAGGAAGGGCCGCCGCCAACAGCTATCTGTGTTGTCCGCCTGATATTCTGCAGATCCTCCTCGACGCCTCCCAGCTGTCAACAACAGAGGCAGATGACCTTGACTCTACTGCCCAGGCTGGCGCGCAGCTGCTAGAGAAAGCTTTGGCCTTCGACATTGAGAACTGGGCATATGAGCAGCGAAACATTTCCTACTTCCAGCAAATCCCGGTCGAAAGCCGCATACACGCCGGCTCCGCACATCGCATTGCCGCCAGCCTGTACATCTTGCACAGTGTTCCGGCCATATCAAAGCTCGTGTCAGTCAGCCGCGATGAGTTGGATTCGGAGCTCTACTACCATCTTTCCTCCATCTCTGACGAAGATCCTAACTTCAAGGCGACTTGTTGGCCGACATTCATTGCCGGCGCCGGCGCATCCAACCCCGACAGACGAGCATGGGCCCTCTATCGGCTCAAGAGGCTCATGATTGCGACACCGTGGGGTTTCATCACGACTGCCATGGACACCTTGCAGACCATCTGGAGTTTGGAAGAGTCCCTCGACCCCAGCACGCAGACAGAAAGGAGCTGGGTGCAGAAGCTCAAGTCCTCTGACCTCAACTTCCTCATCGTGTGAACAGGGCGCAGGAGAACGCATCACAGCCGGGGGCTGGTTGCGACGGCAAATTGGCCGCCGGCATCAATGAAATTGAGCTTCTTCTCTCCTAGCTGCTTACTACGGACCAGCGTTGGCATCTTTACGGTGTCCGTCGTGGCAAGACCCGTGTTGTAGCTCGCTGAGAATCCCCAAGCATGCATTTCACCTTCTTTTGAAATGGTGTAGCAGTTGTCGATGCCTGCTGCAACGAAGACAGCTTTGAGGTCTGTCCAGCCGAAGTTAGTCTTATCAGTACTGTCGCTGGATAGGGGATACTCACCAGGAACGACAGCTGGGACGTTGAGCACCCGAGGGCGGTCCCTCGAATCGAATATGATGTGGTCTTCAGGCAGCGTCTCGAGCGGCATTCCCATCTGGCCGTCGTCCGCTCGGCCCCAAACCAGTACTTCGCCTTCCTCGGTGCACGCAACGGTGTGGTGCAGTCCACATCCGATGTGGCGGATCTTGTATCCCTCGAGGCTCTTGATGACTGTCGGCGAGATCACAGTCGTGAACCCGGTGTCCTCCCGCGTCGAGATTCCACACTGGCCAAAGTTGTTCAGTCCGAAACCCCAAACCTTGCCCGTCGTGTCGAGGGCGAAGCTATGATGCGACCCAGCAAAGATCTTGGCCGTCTTGTTCTTGGGAAGACCGACGCGCTGGGGGACGAGGGTCTCGAAGCGTCGGCGTGCCAAGATGCGCCGTCCCAACTCGTTCTGCTCCCCAGATCCCCATGCGAAGACGTTTCCGTCATTGGTGAGGGCGAGGATATGGTCTGATCCGCCCGCGAGTTCTTTGATATCCGTGAGTCCTGGGATCAACACTGGCAATCGTTCCGTCGTCTTGGGTGGCTTCTCATGGAGGAAGCCAAAGTTGCCGTCTCCGCCCTGCGCGTGGTTAGCATGGAGTACTCAAAAACGGGTGACGCAACTTATGGCAAAGCTTCCCCATCCGTACACTTTTCCTGCAGCCGTCAACGCAAACCCTGCGCTGTTCGTCGCTGCAACTTGCACAACATCAATCTCCTCTTCAAAGTGGACGGCCTCGGGAGTACTCTCGAACGGGTCCAGAATATCCTCCTCGTCCTCTTCGGCCTCTGCTTCGGACTTGGAGGAGGGCTTCACGCGTCCCAGGGCACCATCGTCGTTGACGCCCCAGGTTAGCACCTTGCCGTCGTGGGTAAGAGCAACACAGTGCATACCGCCAACGGCAACTTGTACAACCCCTACAGAGTCGGCATCGAGGAGGCGGTTGAGGCGTGGGCGGGGCGCTTGTGTGTGTCGGGGTCCAAGACCCAGCTCGGAGTTCTCGCCGCTTCCGATAACGAAGACGTCGAGTTTCGTCGTAGGTCTCGATGTCGAAGATGGTCCGGGGCTCGTCTGTTTGGGCTTCGTTGGGTGTTGGTCCCGTTTGGTGCTTGCCGTTTGGGCCTATCGGTGTAAGTCGGCATCGATATCGCTAAGGCAAGGAAGGACTGTCGGGCGGCACTTACCTTGGTGCGAGACGGTAAAGAAGTCTCCATTCTGTTTTTCTTTTCTTCCTTGAACTTTTGGAAAGAATACTAGCGACGAAAGAATTTAACAAACTTGTTTGTCATGTCTTCTCTTGACGAACGCTGAGCACTGTGCCAATTTGTATGGCTGCCGCAGGCGATATGCAAGGAAGCTCAGACCACAGCCCTCGGACTTGCTTACCTCAGTACGATTAGTCACCATGCCATTCCTGGCGCTGGGGCAGCTGCTGCCTGGTGGTGCCTGCACCAATTGACCAATGAACACGCCGTCTTGCTTCTTCACGACGCGGATGACTAATTCGCGGAAGGAAGAGATGATGCAGGCAAGCAGCACGCCTGACACGTTGTTCCAAGGCAGATTTCCAGAATGGTATTGAATCCTACAAGAAAAGTCTACTTCTAAATCAACCTTGACAACTCATTCCGCGATATGGCAAGCGCTAAGGGTGCTACTAGAACTCTCGAAAGAGTCTTTAACAGTCCGGATGCTTGAGAACCTCAGAAGAACATTGACCGAGTTCGCCTTGTCGTTCGTCCCGCTGGATCTTGCGCCTCCAAACGGATGCGCCCCGATGACTGCCCCAGTGCACTTGTCATTGATGCAGAACATGCCCACCGAGTCTCTCAATCTCTCATTCGCAATCCTGATGGCATCTCTGTCGCGCGAGAAGAAAGACCCCGCCAAGCCGTACTCACTCGTGGAGTCAATGAGGTCGCATACGTCCTCGAGGCTGTTCGGCAGGGTATCGTCGTAAGTTAGCACAGCAAACAACGGCCCAAAGAGCTCCCGCGTAAGGAGATCAGATGCGGCGGCCTTGTCGTCCTGGTTGGCCTCCAGAATGGCCGGTTGAATGAAGAGGCCTTTACTACCGTCCCTCTTGCCTCCGAAGAGAAGCCGGTGGCCATCCTTCTGGGCATTCTCCAAGAACTCGCCGAATCGTTCGAAAGCTGCCTCGGAAACTATCGGCCCAAGTGGGTGGTGGAGTTGCTTGACGTCGTCGCCATGCGTCATCTTGGCCGCCTCTCTCAGCAACGCCGCCTTGAGATCGCCCTGCTCCCACATCGACTTGGGAACATACAGACGCGACAGCGCGCTACACTTTTGTCCTTGGAATTCAAAGGCTGAGCGGACTGCAGCGGAAGCAACCCAGTCAACGTCTTCGCGACACGAGTTGTGGACCAGGTGGAAGTTCTTGCCGCCGCTCTCGCCTACGATACGTGGAAAGGTCTTGTAGACCTGCGTGTTGGTCCCAATCTGCGCGAACAAGCTCTTCAGAACCGCCGAGGATCCCGTGTAATGAAGGCCAGAGAAATGCGGGCTCGCCAGCGCGGGCTCGACCACAACTGTGGGGTCTGCCGTGGGAAGGAACTGGACCACCCCCTTGGACAGCCCGGCCTCCTCCATGACTTGGTACAGGATGTAATTCGACAGCACAGCCATCGGCGACGGCTTCCAAAGCACGACATTCCCGAGAATGGCCGGGGTGAAGGCGATGTGCGCCCCCAGCGCAGTGAAGTTGAACGGCGAAACCGCGAGCACGAACCCCTCAAGCGGCCGGTAATCGAGGCTGTTGTACGCGGAGTCGGACTGCTTGAGCGGCTGCTGCTGGTAGAGCTGGTGGCAGTAGTAGACGTGGAAGTTGAGGGTGTCGATGACTTCGGTGATGCAGTCGCCCTCTGCCTGCCCGCACGTCTTGCCTTGGCCGAGCATCGTGGCCGCCATGAGCTTCCACCTGTACTTGGTCTCGACGAGCTTTGCGGCGCGTTTGTAGATGGCGGCGCGGTCGCTGAAGGGCATGTTGGCCCATTGGCGGCGCACGTCCAGGGCGCCGGGGATGGCGCTCTTCTGGATGGTCTCTCGGTCGACTTCGTGATACTCCGCTAGCGGGGCGCCATGGTGGTTCCATGGGTTCTTCTGCACACTCTTCCGGCCGGTGTAAAGGCGTTCGCCGTTTATGATGCTGGGGATTTCGAAGGTTGTTTTTTCGGCCTCAGCCAGGGCAGCTTTGAGAAGCTTGCGCTCCTCTGAACCGGGGGCGTAGGAGAACTTTTGCTCCAGTTGTCAGTGGTGTAGATGTGCTGATACGATGAGTCGAAACTCACCCCATCGGCGTTAGCCGGCTCTGGATACAGTGAAAGTGGCATTGTGAATCAGCAGAATGAAACGATAGGAAGGCTTCAAACAGTCTGGAAAGTCTACGATGACAGTTCATCAAGCCTGCAATGCAACAAGCCTTAATATCGTCAGCTTGCGAACCCATGCTCGGGCCGGCCGCAGGGTGGGCGAATCAGCGGGGTAGATCGGCACCCCTCAGTATCGGAGAGGCAGGACCGACGGTGTAGCAGCCAACCGGCTCTGTCACTGAGTCCATTGGAAATGAGCTGAATGTGGACGAGACGACATCTGGTCTGTCTTTATTCCCAAAGCGTTGCGGCCCGAGAGTGTCACTGGTGAGTGGTCTCGACAGGAAACCCGATTACCTCGGCCTACTGGGTTGCAAGACTACCGCACCATGTTCCAGAGCACGATCAAGCGAGCATCAGGCTATACGGAATCTTCGAAATCTGGAGAATTTGAAAGCATTGCAACATGTTAGCAGCCTGGCGCCAACTTGGATCAATGCAGTAGGCAGAGGCAACGCATGAGACTTTGACACAACGAGATCTTGGTTAAACTATGTGCTAATCGATACGACGTCTTATCCTCCAGTATGACAAGTCTGCAGAAATAATCGCAAGTGACCGTTTAAACACAACGCGCGCCATCAACGAGAATCTCCACGCCACTGATGATCGAGCTGGCCGGCTCAGCAAGGAAGAGAGCCACATTAGCCACATCAGAGGGCTCCACGAGGCGCCCGATCGGGATCGCCTCACACTTGGCCTTGATAATCTCCGCCGGCACAGGGCCGTCTGCAATGCCCGCAAACTTATTGAGGAGCGGCGTATTGCCCGAAGTCGGGCAGATGGTGTTGAACCGCAGCTGGTCCCGGGCGAACTCCAGCGCCATGGACTTGGTCGCCGAAGACACGCCGGCCTTGGTGGCGTTGTACCACGTCTGCAGTGCGCCGGGCCGGATCGCGTTTTCGCTGGAGATGACGATGGTCGAGCCGGGGCCGTTCTTTTTCATCTCGGGGATGAGGATCTTGGAGGCGAGGAAGATGCTCTTGACGTTTACCTCGAAGGCACGGTTGAACTCTTCGAGGGTCACGTCGATGCTCGATTTATTGGGATAGCTCCAGCCAGCGTTGTGGACGACGATGGAGGGCGCCTTGCCGAAGCGTTGAACTGAAGTTTCGAGCTGGAACAAACTGAATCAGCATCAATCAAAATTAGCAGTGATTAGAGAAATCCACTTACTGCCTTTTCCCAGCTTGCTTCTTCGGCTACGTTGGCTTTGATCTGATAAGCTTGGCTCTCAGAGTATCCATCAACTGGACCGTCAGTCGCTTGCAAGTCCAGTCCCAGAACTAGCGCGCCCTCCTTGACGAAAGTCTCAAGAATCCCCCTCCCAAAGCCCTGGGTAGAGCCGGAGACGAGAGCAATCTTTCCTGCCAAACGACCGGTCATTTTGAAAGTTCGAATTAGGTTCAGAATACTGTAAAGGGATGCAGTCGAATATTATTTTTCCACGCTATCACCATTGTTGAGACGCAGTCGTCGTTTGAGTGGTTTTAGATAGTCTTCTTGAATTACAGTTAACCCCCGGCCCGAGCTCCATGCGGGGGCGGGGTGCTATCGGGGATGCGATCCCGGGTTCGGGTTCGGCCCCCGATTGTTCGTATGACTACTACCCCTCAGTCCCCCCGTCGGCCGGGCCGGCGCTGTCACACAACACCGCACTCCTCGCACAGCAACCTCCCCATCTCACCAGCAAAACAGAATGGCCCCATCAACCGCGACTCCGTCTGATTTACACCGCGCCCCCGTGTAAGTGCCGCCATCATCCAGCTCGGACCAGCGAGCTAACACAATCTCAGCGCATGTCTCAAGTGCCGCGCAGCCAAGGTCCGATGCTTAATATCCCGACGGCCGGACCGATGCGATCGTTGCACATCCAACGGCAGCGACTGTGTCTTCACTCAGCCGAAAAGAGCCAGAATTAGAGCCCGGCCTTATCCCCAGCCCCGACAGCGCGAGTCTTCTCCACAACTACGCGTATTCGTATCTCCGCAGGACGAGGCCCGAGAGGATGTCATCCAGCCCACGCCGCCGTCGCATGCGTCACCCGCCCCTCCGACGCCGGTAAGCCATGATGCCCCTCATCTTGATGTCGGGTCTCAACCTCCCATTACTGCGGAGATACGTGCAAGAATCATAGCGACGCTGGCGACTCTCAAAGGCAAGAGAGGGGCACCTTTCAGCTTTATCACGTCGGGTGATAGACCACCTTTCGGTGCAAGTAATGATCCTGGAGAATCTGGCAGACGGAATTTCCAAGGACAAGCCAGCCAGCCATCTCAACCGTCGTTGAAACTTTCATGGCTTCTCACTCCGCTAAAAGTGGGTGGGCCTGGGCAGGCAACTACCAGCCAGGCTGGTCCTCCGGTAAAGATGCCCAGCTACTCGGCATCCATGAGTCTCGGACACACTATCACGGATCCAATCGACAATGGCATCCTAAGTGAGGCGGCATCAACAGCACTTTTCGAACATTTCATGATCGAGATGAATGCGAAATGGGAATACGTCTTGGACCCCCACTTCGACACGCACAACGATGTTAGGCGAAGAAGCCATCTATTGTTTGCCACTGTTCTGTTCTGCTCCTCCAAGTTTGCAAACTACCAATATGGGCAGCTATCTCTCAAGACGGATCCTTTTCTTCAAACCCGATTGTGCAGCCTGGCTCGCAACCTGGCTGTCCGCACGTTTGCCGAGGGAGACAGGTCCGTCGAGACCATGCAAGCGTTCTACCTACTCGTCTGTTGGAAAGACGAGGATGACGATATCTCATACCTGCACAGCGGCTACGCATTCCAAATACTCCACGACCTGGATTTGGAGCAGAGCAATGGAAATGCCCAGCAGACCGCGAGGCGCAGACGGGCTTGGCTTGCCTTGTTTCGACAAGATAAACAGCAAAGCATGTTTTTCATGAGGAGAGCCTCGCTTAGTATCGGAGACGAGGAAGACTCCCCTCGTCTTCTCGACCTGCAGACCTGGTTGAAGATGCCGCATTCTCTGCCGCTTGATTTTGTTGCTTGCTGCAGCGCTGACCTACGACGTATTCAATCCAAGATCCGCGTCATGATTCCAAAGGCATCCTCAACCATGCTTCCTTGTCTTTCTGACCTCTTGGACTCTGAACTAAACAGATGGAAACTGACTTGGCAACCTCATTTTGATGGAAAAGGCAGGCTGCATCAGAACGATGATCTATCGCTCGATCAGAGACTGCTTTACTCTGGTCAGGACCATCTTTCGACCCTTGTCGGGGTTTGGGAACAAAGTGTCAGGCTCAATATTTCGTCATCAATTTTGAGACAGGCCCTCATGACTTCAGTGACCAAAGACTCTCGGTCCTCTGAGCTGCCTTCAGCACCAGCTTCAAGTCTTGGCTTCCCTGCCATGGGAGAGGGGCTTTCACCAGACACGCCAGGTCTGGCGAACAGTGTTCATGGCGCCTTGGGAACACTGCGTCAACTTCTAAAGTTTCCAACAGACGACTTTCGTCGGGCACCAGATGCTCTAACCCTTCTTGCGCCGAACGCAGCACTCTTTTTATGTCTGCTGTTGTGCCTGCCATGTGACGGTATTCTTGGCCCATCATTCCAAAGAACCGCCGTTGGTCTCATAAGAGACATTACTCGGCATGTCAAGAACATGGTACGATCGCCGCAGGATATGGTGAACCTGCACGCGGCGTACTTGGAGTCACTAGCAAATTTGCTGCAGCCAGTGACCCCGCAACGCTCACCAACTCTACAAGGCCATATGGGATCGGAGGTTCAGCATTTGGGTCTCGATGGAGACCAAATGCTACTTGAAGAGACGGAACTTCAGGCAGCTCAAGTGTTAGCGGGAGGAATGGATGCGTTCAATCATAGCGCGGATATCAGCAACGCTTTGCTAGGGTTTACTAGCGAGCCGGAGCAAGTGTTGCACATGCAAAGCTTCGCCAACTTGATGGACACGAGTTTCTTTTGGGATGCACCTCCCATGACAGCGGAGAGAAACTATGAATAAAGCAACAACATCTACTTAATAGCAAATTTTCGAAGACAATCGTAGTATTGTGACATTATTTGAGATGGCGAATCTCAAATGGAGTTGTCCCCACAGGAGAAGACACCTCCGATGAGACCGTCGTCGTATGACTTCTTGATGCTAAGGATTGTCGAGTAAGTACCTCCGACAATTATGAAAGCTCCAGATAGAATCATGAAAGCTCCCACAGCTACCATCGCGGCATGTTTCCATTCCCCTTTCTTACATGCAGCCATGGCCTCCACAAGCCAGTGCTGCTCCTGAGGCGCGGCGCTCTGCTCGCGTCTCAATATGGCTGCTGTTTCTGTAACCTTTACCGGCTTCCGCGCGACATAGAATAACAGCATGAACCCAGGAACAACATTCGTAAAGATAGGGTTGACCAGCGCTCCTACCAAACTCAAGAAATCGCTGAAGAAAGGCACCACGCCAACAATAACGAACCCGAATACCACAGTTACCAACATCGATCCTACCCATACTACCCAGTGCTTGACAGTATTTGCCTGTAGGTGTCTTGTGCCCCGCAAGAACCTCACAAAGCAATACTTGGCCGCAATATGACTGTACAAAACCGCGGTCACTAACAGCCCCGGTAGCGCGATGCCATATGACACCTTTTTGATCAGGGGCCCAGCTGATCCTAACGCCGGGCTCGCAAGGTACTGCCCAACCTTGGCGTATACAATGGTTGCGATTGCAATACATGTAGCCACGATGAAGGCCTGACCGTAGATGAGTGCCCTCGTGAACTTTTCCGGATGCTTCATTTCTGCCGAAATGGAGAAGAACGTTGCCGAAGCGCCCACTGCAAACAGCTGATTGGAGATCGCCGTCATCGCCTCGGGAAAGGTCGTCTTCGGAAACGCGCGGACATCGAGATCGATGGGCCCGCTTGCTGGACCGGCGGCTGGATGACTTTGAGTGAGGCAGGCTATAGCTGTTGTCCAAATGGCGATGAAGATGACCGCGACTCCTACCCAACTGATCCAGGCAACCTTTTGAAGACCTCGAAAGCCAGTACCGATCAGAAAGGCGGCGATGGAGGTAACACCAACGAAGACAGTCGTACAAGCTCCGTGGTCGGATAGGGCGTTGAACGCAACCGAGGTAGTCAGCAAACCTGCTCCAGCCGTCATGGCGAGGTAGAGGTAGTAGATGAACCCCACTGCTTCTCTAGCCCCTTTTCCGAAAAGAAGCTCGCTAGCATCTGCTATACTGTGCATGTGTGGGTAATATTGTCTTGCGTTGCCGCACAGGTAACCGGCGATGGTTGATATCATGGCTAAGACAAGAAAACAGAGAATGCCGGGAAAGAACCCGAGGACATGAAAGGTTCGTGGGAGGCTGAGAGCCCCGAGGCCGATCTGGAATTTTGCGACAAGGACAGCCGCAGCCTGCCAGGATACGCCTCGAAAGTTGACCTCACCATTTTCGTTGCTAAAGACGTCCTCGAAGAGTTGTCCGTTTGCTTGCGATTCGACAATGCTTAGGTCATGGCCCTCTTTCGTGGTGTTTCCGTTGGCGTCAAGAGCTTTCATGTTGGTGTTACTTGACGAATGTTTCGATAAGCACTGGTATGTTGAAGCATGAATTATCAGGTCTCGCCATCAGCATCCTTTTGTAGATTTGAAAAACTTGTCTGAATAGTACCATGGTGCCACAAAACTCGGACCGACAGCCCCTGTTACCGGACCAGCAACTTAGAAGATAATAAGGCGGATCAAACTAGCAAGAGGACAGATAAGAAAGAAATCACTTGGGTTTCGAAGGGTACCATATCCTAATGAGAGACGTCGGCTTATTTTTCCAGCTGTAACAATGTGCGACCTCTTTGGACCCTGTAGCTTATAACTTCTCAGATAAGATAGACTCACGCTCTTAAGCTCTTTTGCATTTGAATATTTTACCTAACAGAAACAAACTTTACATGACTTACATTACTGAATCCGGGGATAGTGGGAATGGGGTCCGGGGAAGAAACACGAACCATCGCTTTCCCCATGGGGTTTTTGCTCGCCTGCTCTGCTTCTGAAAAGGTCTTGGAGCTTTCAAATTATCTAATTGTAATGAATTTACAGTTAACAGCTCTCATCTAGGGCCTAGAGAGATGCATGATCCATGGGAGATGACCGTGGGGGTGGTCTCCTCCGGGCCGAGATGACCCACAGCCAAATTCTCGGGCCGGTAACCTCATTGTATCAAAAGTAACAATGAAAGTAGCTTCAGAGCTGATTCTACGTCTTCCGAGAGAATACAATTTTCTCATTTGCTCCTTGTAGCGCCTTCGCCGCATGTAAACGTGCCATATACCTGAGAAGCAAGCATCATGGGAAACAACACTCCACTCAACATTGCGGTCATCGGCTGCGGTCAGTTTTCCCATACCCCGTCACACAACTCGATGCCAATTCCTAACACGCAAACCTACAGGCACCCTTGGTACCGCAATTGCAAAAGGCATACTCGACCCCTTGGACAAGCAAAGCCACACCATAAACCGGGTTATTGCCACAGTCGGCACCGAGGCCTCAAAACGTCGCGTCGAGGAGGAGTTGTCTGATTACTCGGCGCGACTGAAGGTACTTCTGCAAAAATACAATGAAGCTGCCATGCGGGACGCAGATGTGGTTATCATAGCTGCAAAGCCCGTCAAGAGAAGCGAAGTTTTCGCAGCTCAGGGAGTCAAGAAGGCTCTTCGAGGCAAACTAGTCATCAGCATCATGGCCGGGATCACCACCAAAGAGCTCGCTCGTCTCGCTGTCGGAAATGGGGAATCATCTGATGACCAGACACCCTTTCAGGCTGTCCGAGTAATGCCTAATATGGCCGCCAAGATTCGTGAGGCCTTGAGCCTGTGTACGGCAGACTTCGACACGCTTACGAATACCAACAAGGAGATAGCAACATGGATCTTTAACCAAGTCGGCCAGAGCCGCTTCATACCGGAAAGTTCATTTGATATCTCTGCAGTTCTTGTAGGGTGTGCTGGGTCGCTTCTGCTTTTGGCTGTCGATGGCCTCTTAGATGCAGCTGTTGCTGAAGGAGTGAAGCGGCCAGAGGCGCAGGATATGGCTTTCACCAGCGCAATCGGTATGATGAAGTTGGTGCCTGCTGGAAATCATCCCAGTGTATTGCGGGAGAAGATTGCATCCCCCGGAGGTTGTTCAATCAGGGCACTGTTGGAGTTGGAGAGGTTGGGAGTCAGGTCAGCATACACAAGCGCCATAATGGCAGCAGCGGCTCGTTCCAAGGAGATGTCCAACTCTTAGCTTATTGAGCAATTTATACACGTTAACATTCCTATCCTGACGACTTGTGTGTTCCTTATGTACCATCATCCCCTTCAAAGTTCCAGATTGACATGTTCATCTCGTACGTTCGCATCTTCCTTCGGCTGAGGAAACTCTTCAATGACCCATGGATCCCCAAAGATCGTGATTACGTTCGGTGCCTTGTCGTCGACATCTAAAAACAGAGAATAGAGGCCTTCATATAGCACCCGGTTTCCCACTTCATCAACTCGGACGAGCTGCTCCATCTTGATGATAATTTTCTCCTTCCTCTCCTCTCCAGGCTTGATATTGCGAAGACGCGTGTATCCGACCAGAGTCTTCTGAGGCCATGGCTTCGGACCGGCCTCCGACCGTAGGAATACGAGCGCGACGTAGTCTGAAATCACATTTCCCTCGTTCTTGGCGGAGACGGTTACGGTGACCATACGCCTTTCCAGGCCACGCTGCCAGGAGGGAATTTCAGAAGCGGCATCGTCGTTCGCTTCTGCGGCCATTTGAGCAATATAAATATTATGGACGTTCGACGCTGGCTTCATATCCACACTAAACTTTGTGTAGTGCAAACCAAGCCCGTAAGGGACCGGCGTTTCTCCAGTGTACCACCTATAGGTGCGCCCGAGACCAGAGTTGCCAGGTCCAGGTCTGAGGTTCATATCGGTGGCTGGAACAGCATCATTGTACGATGCCGGGTACTGCGTGACGGAGAGACGACCAGCAGGCGCCGCGCGACCGAAGACGATATCCAGAATCGCCTTTCCGCCCGATTGACCAGGGTATCCGCCCCAGAGAATCGCGTTCACGGAGTCGTTCGCAAGAAGTTCTGTGTCGTCAACCTGACCGCCTCCAAATTGAAGAACAACTAGCGGCTTTCCCACTTCCGAGAGAGCACGAAGGAGCTGCAGTTGAGGCTCAGGCCACGCCAGAGTATTGCGGTCGAGAGTCTCTTGCTCCAGGGTGTTGTCTACGCCGCCCATGAAAATGACGACATCCGCGGCTTGAGCTGCCTTGATAGCTTGTGCGAACGATGAGTCGGACTTGTTCATCCTCGATCCAAGGAAGTAAGTGAAATCCAGGCCAAGGTCCTTGGCGGCCTTGCGTGGAGAGATGAGGTATGGAGCAGGACCGAAGTAGTTTCCTTGCATTTGCGTTGTCGCGCTAACCCATGGCCCGATGAGGGCGTACTTCTTCGAGGAATCAGGAGACAGAGGCAAAATGCCATCATTCTTCATAAGAACAGCGCCTTCGACGGCTGCCCGATACGCAAGATCTTGCGCCTCTTTGGTGTTGACCTCGTCCCAGCCTAGAGAGCGCAACGGGTCTTTCCTGTCCAAGTCGAACAGGCCGACCGAGACGAGAGATGTATACATCCGCGTCAGTGCCTTATCCACGTCTTTCTCGGAGATCAGCGACTGGTTCCAAGCAGACTGAAGAGCCTCTGATCCGGGAAAAGCGTTGCATTCAAGATCCGTTCCCGCTTGCATGGACCATGCTGCGGCGTGTCCAAGGTCGGGAGCATAATGATGGTACGAGACCATCAGCGCGACGCAGTCACAGTCTGTGGAGACATACTGCCCGTCCCCGTTCCATCCCCAGTGCTTCCGTAAAATGTCCTCGATAAGGTAGCTGTTCGCACAAAGAGGCGTGCCGTTGATGCCGTTATAGCTGCACATGAAGGATCCGACGTTCTTCTCGACGGCACATGTCTTGAATGGTGGAAGGTAGTATTCGGACAAATCTTGGGTGCTGATAATGGCGTTGAAACCAGAACGGTCTACACCTTTGTAGTTCTCGAAATCATTCGCTGCGTAATGCTTGCAGGTTGCGATGAGTTTCTTATCGGGATCATCCCCTTCCAGGCCTGAAAGCATGGCTGAGACATACTTCTGCAGGTGAAAGGTATCCTCGCCGGGAGTCTCTTGGCCGCGACCCCATCGGGGATCTTTGAAGGCATTGATGTTGGGAGACTAGGGTCGTCAGTGAGCTCAGGGATTGATGGCATCGTGCTCATCGGCCACTTACGTAGAGATCAAGCCCAGACCTGCCAGCGTTGCTGAAGGCTCTGGCCTCCCTGCTCACAACCTCTCCCACGGCCCGCACTAGTTCATCGTCAAATGCGGAGCCGAGAAGAATAGGCTGGGGAAAGGAAGTCGCGTAGCTGAAGTTCCCTTTGGAGGTAAACTTCGTCCCTGGCGATCTTGCTACGCCATGAAGCCCCTCACTCCACCATTCATAGGGCGGAACCCGAAGCCTGGGAATACCTGGTGCTTCATTTACCAGGTTGTCGAGCTTCTCCCAGATGGTAAGTTCGGCAACCAACGCCGCCGCCCTCTGTTTGTCCGAGAGCGACTCGTCACAGACGTCATTGGAGCAGAGTGGATCTCGTGTGCAATCTGGAAAGTTTCCTGGAGCTTTCTCATCGAGAATGGGGTTGATAATGTCGTAAACCTCGATCCTTTTCATTGTAAGCATTGAAATGATACTAATGGGTGGTTCCTAGACTTGGAAACTCACATATTTTCTTCGTCACACGGTATCAGCGACTCGGTGCAAACAGTTCCAGATGCATCGCATGTGCTTTGCGCATCGCTGATTTGGGATCCCTTGATATTGATCTCATTCCCGCAGACACACAGACCTCCCCTGTAATGATCAGTATCTCAATCAAACACACTGATGAGCACGACGTCTATACCTGTCGTGTTTGATGCCCGCCAGCGAGTACCCAGCCTGGCCGCACAGCCTGGCGCACGACTCAACTGTGTTGTGTCGAGTGAGCGACGCGCCGTTGATGAAGGCTTTCAAGTTCGGTGAGTCGTCAAAACAGCGCCGGCTACCGATTTCCGGCGCATACTCTAGCGCCGGAAGGCAGGTCCGCGAGGTTAAGGGCTTCTGGGCATCGTCGGCATACGCTCCGACCGTCAGGGCAATCCCCTGAATCAATAGAATGAGCTCCTCAGTGTTTTTAGGCCTCATCGCGACAACCGATCGCGGCGATGTATTGCTCTACGAGATGGATGAGGTGAGATTCGTGTGTCGCCTTAACCCCTGATAGCAGTGTCGTATCACTACCCCGCGTCGGCTGCGGGGCCGCGTACCGCCCGGCCGACCTTGGCACAGCATGCAGCCGAAGTGTCGTTATGTGACCCAGGGTTTTCATCCTTCGCTGACAATAGTATCGATTTCTCATGGAGAGTATCACTCATGAGCGAAAGACGAAATTCGATAAGACGCACCCATACATTTGAAGTAAAAGCCTGAGATATATCTTGCTCCCCCATCATTCACACAATGGCCTCGTTTTCTCACGAGAGGGTCACTGTAAGTTGTGTTATTCATACGAGACAATGATCTTCCATATGATCCATGCTACTCCTGACGGCACGGTGGAAATAACTTTGCCCTTATCAGGACCGTTGGTTTCGCAGCCATGCATTCGCGACGGGCGAACAGGGCCGAACAGGCCCGTTTCCATAGTCTCTGATATTGATGTTTAGCAGTTCTTCTTCAGACCTTTTGGACGCCCTCCTGAGAGCAATTGAAGTTATCTGGACGGAGAGACAGGGGTCACGGGATCCGAACGGCATTCGAAGTAATGGGAACTTGGCTTTTCATCGTTGATGCCTTTCCTCTCCTCAGCAATATGATCCTACCAAATTTCAAATTCGACTTCTTCGTAGCCTTCGGAAATAAGATCACCAACGACTACCTCATGAAACTGGTCCGTACCGCGAGAGCAAAACCCACTGATCAGTTCCCATCCGCCTGCATCTCGTGGCCGGAGAAGGATGGGGAAGTAACTTTTCTCAATGTAACATATCGCATCCCCTGGTCGTGCTTCTTTAGGCACCAGTCCTGCTTCGATCTTCGAATCCACGTACAATGAGTATCCGTATAGCGACGCAAAAAATCTATCGGCGAACTCTGTGCTCATGCCAAAAGCACCGGCGAGCCATTGGTCATAATTGAAATACCCCCATCCCTGAAGACTTTGTTAGCAAGATCCGTAACGTTTGCTTCGAACTATTCATCTTGGCTCAAACCATCTCTTCTAAGACCGGTAACTCACGCGAAGAAGTAGTAGTAGCATTTCAGTACGGTCAAAACAATGAAGGTCTTTGAGAAAGAATGTCAGTGGAATTCTCGGTGCAACCTTCAGCCACATCAGACGAACCGTCAAGAATCTCGGTTTGGGGACTTTGAAGGTAATCCCACGAGGCGGCGTCGTCATCACTTAGTTCCATCAAGCCTCGCACTTGTTCTTCCAACAACAAGGGTTCATTCGCAGTGAAAGGTTTTCCTATCCGCTCAATAATAGAGACTTGAAAGCCTCTTATTCGCAGAACAGCATGTTTGCCTGTGCACCTCGCACATGTACAAGCTTCAAATCGAATTTCGACGGTAGCTTTTGCAGCTGCGAAGCCAGAGTCGCATTTGAGGCCTACGTTGAGAAACGAATTGTGGAACTCGTGTGTCCAGGGTGGGACCCATGAAGGCATGTTCATCTGATGAGGATGCCTAATTGTTGAAAGCAATGCAAGATCAGACCTAGAGTCGAGCAAGTATTGTGCTACCTTGAGAAACGTGAGCTCGAAACCATCCGTGTAGCTGATCAAGTCGTTGAATTTCGCGTCATGTTCTCTCATCAAACCTTCCAGAGCAAAGATTCTATCTCGAGAATCGGTTGCTGCACATCCAGCGGTGGCAAGGATGATGTCTAATAGTGTTTTCGTCTCCTCTTCCTGAATATATCTACTCATAGAAAATGGGAGCAGATGCTTGGTTACTCGATTCCAAGTGTAGCCAAACACACATTCAACGAGTAGGCTTGATCGTGACAAGGATGGGCCGCAAAGAATGGCGGGGTCAGGAAGAGTGGCAAGTTTGGAGTTCTTGGCTTCTTGAAGTACCCAAACCCTATGAAACCATGGCCGCTCAAGGAGAACATCCATGGCCTCGATGAGCTCTTGTCGAGGCTTTGGCCGATCTGGATGCCAGTGTCGTCCGTTCCATACCGGAGTCGCTTGTTCTGCTAATGCTAGCTCTTTGAATACGAGGCGACTGGACGGCGTTTCGTCTCCGAGACATATGACAACTCGATAGGATGCTGCATATACTCGACCCATCATGCGAACCTGACCTGTTTTTTCCAGATCGTCCTTCTGGTTTATGCAGATGGCATCATTCCAGAGCAGTCGATCAGACGTCTGCAGGCGAAGATTTTGAAGCGCTCCAAAACAATTCGGAGTGACCATGACCTGAGCTCCATCAGGCCCAAGCATAACTGGAAGTGAATCGGAGGCGTCGCCCCATGTGTATGATAAAGCCTCATATTCCGGAAAACCAGGGGGGCGAAAGACCTTTTTATGCCATTCTCTCGTTGGCAACAAACTGACGACGCTCTCGGCACTATTGACTCTGACGGGTTCGTCGTTGTGGCAGTCGCAAGGGCAACCGTCGTCATTCTCCTCGTCCCCGTGCTCTTTCTCATATTTATCGTAACCGCATTCACAGCAGAGGACCTCATCATTGCTTTCGTTGCTCTCCTTGTTGAAATTAACGTCAGTGTCATCGGTAGAGATGCCGTCATCTCCCTCGTTTTCTGGCTTGTCGTCGTGGTTATCGTCAGCATGATCCATGTTCTCAATGGCAAGCTCTTGCCTCTCATCTGCATGTTCATCTTCAGAATCTTCTGCAGAATCGCAGAGAGACTTCCCATTGGAACCATGATGAGATTCTTCATCGATGTGGCTATAGAAACAGTCTCCTGTACATCCGTCTGGGTCGACAGCTCTGCATTCCCATCCTTCTATCGTCGGCACGATAGGATTCTCGTCTAGAAAGCTGCACACAATGGGCGTATCTCGGTCTTGCGCCGGATGCAGGACGAGAATCCGGATTGATTCGGGATGTGATAGAGGAGTGTATTGGTATGCCGGAGTTGTCACGTCGGCCATGTTTATCGTCAAGCTTTTCGAAAATCGCACATGGACAATGGCTTCGATGATGGACTGATGAAAACAACGCTTCAGTCTGCGCGAACAATGAGAAGACAGACGGTTAATCAATTTCAAACGTCCAGATCTCGAGATGAAAGAATCCACACACGTGTTGGAGTTAACTCCACTTGGTCAAGCAGGCTGCGATTGCCTGCGCCTTGCGCTTGCATGACAACTCACTGCCATACCTCACTGTCAACCTATCAATTGACTCTGAAGGCGCACCACTCGCTGGTTCGCCATCAGGCTGTAGGCGCCAAGGGAGACAGTGAGATCTTGTTATCAGTCCCAGGAAGCGGTCTGTCCGATGCTTCGTCATGGCCTCCTTAGAGACGGCCCTTCATCCACTTGGAGAAAGCCTGAGAGAATGCCTTTCATCCACGTGGAAAAACAACCGCGAGACTGTCAGACGTCGTTGAAAAAAGTGGAATAAGCAGCCAGCACAGCAAACTTAGAACACCATAGCCTTACTTGTTCGTCCTCACGGACATGACTGATGTACCGTGACTCCCCCATCATGTCTTGCATGCAAGACATACCCGCCATACGCTCAGACTCAGCAAGGGGGAACCAAGAAACAACAACCAAGGGAAACCGACAAGCTTAAACCAAAGGAACCAAGGAAACCGGCCGGCAGACCGGCAGCAGGCTCGAGCCGTAGAAACAACACCCAAATCCAAGTCAGCCGTCGGCACGCCGCGACTTCGGAAAGGCGAAACTTGTTCGTATGACAGTCGCTTACCTTACCCCGCGAACATTTTCTTCTCACGATATCTTTTACCCCGCCAACTGGAACACTGGTTGCGGGGACCATTCGCAGCCGACGGTCAAAGTTTGCAGCAATGGGCCGCCAACCAACCCCCCCGTCCGCGGTCCAAGGGCCGCCTTCGATCTCGCACCACGCAAGCGGGCGAGCGGGGTCCTGCTTCGACTCGCCTAGCGTCCTGGAGGTTGGTTGGTGAGGCCGGGGGTTCGGGAAAGCGGGCGGCGTGGTATCAGCATCGCACACGGCGAGATCTTCCGCAGCAGTCCTGGAGTGACAGTCCGCCGGGGGCGGTTCTCCCTGCGGCCGGCCTACCTAACCAACAAGCGCCCGCGTGCCACACGGTCTGCGGTCGCCGTGAGCTTGTGTGGCACAGCAGCAGAAGCTCTTTTGTTATCGTTTCGAAGTGCTCAGCTTCGCATGAGAATCCGTCGGGCCTTTTGCCTCGACTGATGAGACGCTGTGCTCGCGTAACCAGGTTGCGTTTGGCGAAAGGCCGTTGCAGAATGTCGAGTGCTCCAGCAGACGGCTCCCGCAACCGGGGACGGACGTGTAAAGACACGATTGGCAATAGGCCGCGGGACTCAGACCTTCGCGGGTGGAGTTTTCAGACGGGATATCGACCGACAGAGGAGACCGGCCAGGGGAACAGACTCGCGAAGCGGGCTGGGCTGACAGGGCATGGTCGAGTTCTGTTACATCAGGCATAGGAGACCCGTTTTGCTGCAGCAAAGGGTTTGAAGGAACTGAGAAAGGATTTGGACGAGATGCGGTCAAGCGACTGGCGCAAGCTGTGAACCGAGCTCCGAAGGTCAACCTTGCCAGGCCAAGGTTCGGGGGCACAAGGGGCGTTTATCTTAGCAGTCGTTGCTTTTGCAACGATATGCATATGCGTCTCTTAGGAGGATCAACATTGGGGGCGAAAATGTTACAGCAAGATGTTGGTTGTTGTGCCCATAGCATGGAAACATTGCGGCAGAAAGTGTATGATCTCCATCTGGCTAGCCAGTCGCCGTTGAGATGATGACTGCCCACTCGCAAAAGTCTGGAAGGAAAAAGCAAAAAAAGAATTCCAGAAGCACTGGCAAACTGGTCCCTGAGAGGCACAGCTTTTTCCAATTGCATGCACTGCAGCCCAAGGATGCAGGATCGGCCTCTAGACCCGCCGTAACCTGCCGGCGCGTCTCTTTTGAGCTCTGATCGCGAAAAGCCCGCATACTGCCGGCCGTGGTGCGGTATCCGAACAGATGGTGTAGCATCGATATTGAAAAGAAGACGAGAACAGGGTGACGAAACACCGCCGCGATGGGGCTGACGGCGAACTCGCCCACTACAGATCTTGGTTAGCGGGGCTTTGATCTGGATCACCGATTCTTCTCTTCGAGTGGCTGCAGCGCTCGGGGTTCAAGGGTGATGGCTCAGAGGTTGCAATCCAATATGGAGAGGACATCATCCGTGCTGTGCTGCCATGACGGAGGGAGGAGGAGGCCAAAGCTCCGTCATACTTTTCAGCCGTCGAGCCTTGGAAGGCAAGCCGTCTGAACCATCCATGGGCTGCACGCTTGACGGTTATCCGAACTCTGTCCGCCGCAGCTTGGGCGGAGGAGCGACGATCGCCGCCGACCGGCCGGACGAACAGACATGTCGAGATGGGCGCTTGAGTGTCGACTGCAACTTTCGCCTCCAACTCTTGTTGGCCCTGACGTTAATCCTGGTCTGCCGACGCCTGCTTTGAGCGAGGCGAGTCGATTTAGACTTTCCAACAGCAGCGTGTCGCGTACCGCCTCCAGGTCTTTGCCATGCTTGCAGCACATGAAGCGCCTTGTCTCACGGCGGAGGTCTGGCCTCGCTTTCTTCTTTGGCCATGTTTCGGCCGAGGGGCTCTGCGCAAAGAAAGACAAATGCCTTTATGTTATGCTGTTGCCCCTGACGGCCGTCTTATGACCGTCTGAACCTCTCAATTGTTGGGATTGTGGTAATTCCAATTTGCGTTTTGACGCGTCGCCGCACTGACGCACAGTCACTGACAGCTCCCTCCTCCTCCTGCGCCATAACACCGGACGGAACGTCTCGCGAGGGAATCGTAAGCGTCAAGAACGCCTGTCCAATTCGTCCAAAATCCCAAAGCCCGGCCATCGTACGGGACGGGAGGTCGCCAGGTCGGCATCCTCTGGGGCTTTGTGGGTATCACCAGGTGCTGCTATTGACAGGGCCAATTCTTAATCATGTGGTCAAAGTATCCCGGTCACGGCCTTGGCCCCTTCAGGTCGTTAATCTCACCATTGATGGACAATCGTGGGAAGCGAAATGCGGTCCATCGATTCCACAGGGACCCCGGGTCGAACCATTGGAATCTTGTCTTCCAAAAGAGAGAATATCGACAAAAGAAGAGGCAATGTTTGCCAGCGCTTGAACCACCAGTTCCCCGATGGCAGACAAGTTCAGTCACAGTTCCTTTGTTCGTCGCTGCATAATTTGACAGCTGCAAACTATTGGCTTGAGGATTGATGGTGCAGTCGCACGTCCCCTGTCTCAATATGTTTGTCGGTTGAGGCGCTCTGGCGTGGCCTACGAAGCATGACACGCTCCTGAAGGAACTGTGCGTCCAATTTTGTTTTCTCGGGGACGTTGTGTTTGACACCATTTCCCTGTTTCTCCAAAGCTGAAGGCCCTCTGGCAACCTGGGATGCCCTCGGTTGCGCTTGGTGTCCAGCTCGTGATGGAGGTGTACACGGACGCCAAGTCAGCCGAATACATCATCAAGCATGGAAGGGCCATCTTGGAGGGTGGAGGTTGGCTTCGCCGCTTGCGTGCAGCCCCCGAGTGCCAACGACCATGTCGGCACAAGGTCAATCCCACTCTGCGCTTCCAAATGCTTTTGCCAAAGTGGGTGAAGCCAAGCTGTCATCACCTTGCGGTGCCCCAGTTGACGGCGATCTATCTGAGCTGGTCGCTTCCCCAGCACTATTGGGATGCGATTTGCAGGCTTTGGGGCCTTATTGATGAAAAGCTCAATATCGAAATCTTGATCGTGGAGTCTTCAGGGCAGATATGGGACGGATCGTCACAAACTTCGTCCGACTCTTCAAGGTGCGATGACGGCAGCCAAAGGGGTCTGTGAGCCGTGGGACGCACTGCCGTGATGTCCGTGTGCGTCCAAAGACGAATGGCCTCCTGTCGATAATGGCGCTTAACCCAATGTAGCCGCCGGTTTCTCGACCAAAAAGGAGGCTTGTTCGCAAAGATCCGACGACATGGACCGCCCACATGGAAACGCTGGACGAAGCCAGTCAGCGACCATCACAAAAGCAATTGTAAGCCCCAAGAACAAGAACGGAATACAATCCGTTTGCTTTTGTCGTTTCGTTGCCCCTCCCACTCAACCCCAAACAAAACACTTTGGAGGGAAGGTGACGATACGCCACGAGTCATGGGGAGCTGCACTGTTGGACTGCCTCCATCGCCAACGGCGCGCCGCCAGCACAATGGATGGTCGATCGGGAACTTGCTTTTCCGCCCCCATCATCCTTAGCACAAACTGGCAAACAGCCCTCTTGAGATGGTGGCTACGGTTAGAATTGCTTTTGGTGGGTACGGGCGAAGTCCGCTGTTTCTCGCGGTTGAGTTTCGTGGGCGATTGTAATTACTCCTAAGTCCTGAGCAAGCATCTCAGCCACGCCGTCGTCTCCCAGGCTATTTTCGCAACAGCAACAAAGTCAGTGGCTTCTCAAGTGGGCGGTGGGCACGTAAGAGTGATCCAATGGTCTAGCCCCCGTTCAGAGAGACATTCCAGAATACGTGGAGCAGTCGTAAGGCCCAGGTGGTCGACTGGGTTCAGGGGGCGTTCGTGACCACCTACTGTGGATTGCCCCCCGTCTCTTTCGCAATGGTGCTGGGTTCGGAAAGGGCGGGATCGCAGTGCGAGACGGGAAAGCCATACCCAGGTAAGGCATCGAGCGACAAGCTGAGCTGGCGAGAGATGAGCAGGGCGGGTCGTCGGTCTTCGTGCGTAACGATGCCAACAACCCTGTGGCTCTGCTGAGCAGAGCGTTTGCGTAGGCACCATACCACGCTGTGCTGCCACCAGTCCTTGGCTGCTCAGGCTCTCTCGGTTCAACATCAGCATCGTCTCTCCCAAGAAGGGTGGATCACCCGAGGTTGGCAAGTTGGCTGTCCCGCATCAGGCCGTTTCAAA